CCCAACCCACTTTAGTGTAAGAAACTCCATGATGTTTTTATTTCTCCAAAGGGGTGGATATTCACAAAGGTGGAGACTTGTTAAGTATATGTATTTTTTCTAAGGGGGTTGGATATGTATTTCTCATAAGGGGCTTGATATTCGCCAAGGTGGAGATTTGTTAGGTATGACTCATATACCAGAATTTGGAGTCTCTTGGAGTGAAGAAATGTGTCACTTGGTTGAAGAGATGTGTCTCCTGGAATGAAAAGAAGTGTTTCTTGGAATTTAGTGTGTTGGGGGGAGCGAGAGCGAGTTGGTAATTTTATATGTGGGTTTTTTATCTATATATATCATTTGTAACCTTATGGGTATGTAACTGGACTCCTCTAAAATAGTGAATTCGCTGTTCTGCTCTCGAGTAAGTAGACATCTTTGTCGAACCTCGTTAAATCTCTGTGTTCTTTTGGATTTATGTCGATTTCTGTTTTTCTTCACCATAATTTCTCAACAGGTTGAACCCTTACTCTTACGTATATTGCAAGTTCGATTGGTTTCTAACAACAGAGTTTTGTAAATTTCGAGACTGTGATGAATTTTTACAGGTGTAGCACATTTGGATGATCTATCTAATTACATTTCATGTTTTCTCATCTAAGTTTTTTTTGGGGCCAATGTTGTTAAATAATTTTTTAAGCTTAGTCACCGTGATGTTGTCAAATCATTTTTTAAGCTTATTCAGTGATGTTTCTAGATGCCTTAGATATTTTATTTTGAGCCCATAACATTCTTTTGCGATGTTATTGTTGTAAGTCATTTTATGTTTTATGCTCCGTTTGAGGCAGCGTTACAATAATGGCGCGACAAAGCACAATTGTTTTGACTGTTTGAGTAAACAACTTTTTGATAGTTTTTTCAAAAGTTGTTGAAAGCAACGTTTTCCCACTAGGTGTGGTGGGAGCTTTCTAGCTGAGATCTGATCTTAAAAAAAAAAAACGGTAATATTCGACGTAACTCTTTACAACATCAAATTGTTCTTCAACAACTTAACATCAATTTCTTAATAAATTGCAATTGCCTCCAAGCAGACCCTTAGTTTACTTAATCTTATAATATTTTTCAATATTTCAATAAAATTATTTGACCATTGTCCTCAAATTTTTCCAAAGAAAAATAAAAATACATTAAATGTTAGCCATTAAATGGAGGAAGCAGCTCCATCCCTTGCAGCTCTGATCCCAATTTATACTTTTGCCCCTAAACATTTTATGAAATTATATAATTTTAATAAATGTAAATAATAATAATAATTTTGAAATAATGCAGTTTGATTGGGACCGTAGGTGCAATGCATTGGGGAATGCACTTAGCCACGTGCCCCTTTCCTTCATCAGAGGTCTTCCACGGCCTCCATGCGCCGCCACTATCAACCAATTAAATTTGGCCATTTGTCACGCATTAGCGGCAGTTGTCAACGCCTGCTCGACAGCTCAGCCCCATTTTGGGCTTTGCGAGTCGGTCTTAAAAAATTATTAGATTTTTTTTTAAAAATTTTCGTATAGATTAAATTTATTTCAAAGCTTCCACGTGGCAAATTGAAAAGGGTGACACGCAGTTTGTTCGCATCTAAGCTTCAACGCAAGATGCTAATGGCGTCATTTCTCAATATATATATATATACACACACACACCCACAATTGTAACTGTATGATGCACTCAAATTTAGGGCCTGCTTGGGACAGCTTATTTGGTGCGGCGTCATTTTGAAAACGCAGCTGATCTGTTTGGGTAAACTGTATTTTGACAGCTTATGCGTTTTCACACCGCACCTATCTAGACTTATTAGCAGATTATTGGCAACAGTCTGACTTTTTCTAAAAAAAATAAAAATTTGTAATAGCTATCATACCTGGCTTATTAACAGATTATTTTTAATCAGTTTATCAACAGATTATTCAATAAGCTACAGCTGGCTCCAACAGACCCTTATTCAAAATCAGAAAAGAATGTCGCATCCGGACTCCAAACGTAAATTTATGTCGAGTCCAGTGAAAACTTGCCATATAGCAAATGGAGTCAACTGTAGTACACATTTGTTGGGCATTTTTTAAAATGTGTGTGTCCCACTTGCCACGTGGCGAGCTTTCTCTTGACTTCGGAAGCAAATTTGCATCGAGAGTCCGAATACAATAATTTTTCCAAGATCACACTCACGAAAATATGGGAGGAAAAAGGGAATCTCGAATCCAAGAATAAGTTTTTTTTTTTTTTTTTGGAGGAAAACGCTCATTTTATGTATAGTTGGATTACTCGTTCGATGATTCTTTGTGCACGTCGGGATTGATTATTCAATACAAATTATTCATCATATACATGTTTCATTATGTATACACTTTTATTAGCTAAAAAAATAAAATAACTTTATATTATTTAACTAAAATTATGATCAAATTTAGGTGACTTGCCAGTAGGGTTTGTTAAGAGTGGGTAGCATTATTAGGATACGACCAATTTGACCGACGGGTTAATTTGTTATTGGAAGTATAGAAAGATGCGTCATGTTTCTTGGAGGCGTAACATCACACTAATTCGGTAAGATTACCACTAGAGGTTTACATAGCTTTGGGTTATTTTTATTTTTTATTTTTATTTTTATTTTGATGTTTTAAATGAGATAATTTTCATAAGCAAATTTATGATCATTTAGCTTTAATTGAAATAAAATTATAGTTAAAATGAACCTTAACAATACAAACTCAATGAAACCCAAAGTGATTATATCTAAATATAAATGAGCTAAAATCAAGTGATTAGAGTAAAATTGAAAGGTTTAAACTATTTGTTAAGAGTTAATTGATTTATAAATATGATATGTTTATAGTTGAATCGAATGGCTCAGTGTGAGGAAATCAATGAGCAAAAGTTTAAGGGGAGTTTGGTTGAGCGAATTTGTGATGCACTGTAAATTTTGTGTTTGGCATGATGAATACGAGTACAATATAGAGTATGAATAGTAAATTTTGTGTTTGGCATGATGAATACGAGTACAATATAGAGTATGAATAGTTTTAAAGTTGATATCATTGTTCATTTTTGTTAAATTTAGAATTCTACCGATTTGACTGAAGTTGATATACACTGATCATTAGAATATAAAATATTATCGTCAAGTCACCGCCCGTCGCTCTTCGCACCCACTCGCCGCCGCTCACCCACGCCACCTCTCCCCCACACTTGTTGGTCCCACTGCCCCTTTTGTCTGCCCACCAGCCACCAGTCGCCCGCCGACGGCCGCTGTCTGCTGCTGCTTGTTGTCTGCCTTCTGCCTTCGCTATCGCCCGCCGCCTCTGTCTTCGCTTCAGTCGACAGTTTGCCAATCGCCCACCAACTCATCGCAGACAAAACATTTTTTGAAAAACATTATTTTCAATCTATTTAAAAAAAAAAAAAAATAGTCCACCGTTTTTTTTTTGTAAACCAAAGAACTTTAAAGTATTTTAAATATATTGAAGTCATAGTACTCTGTAAATCTTTTACATTGTTTTTCACTTTTAGCAATCCAAACAACTAGTTGTATTTTATCGAGTTATCGCTGGAGCTCGAGTTTAAGGATACGAGTTTGAGCTGACTCATGAACAGAGTCATTTATAATAAAAGAGAAAAAAAATAATTTTAAATAGAATTGTAATAAAATAAATATAACGAACAATTAGGAGAAAAATGATAAGAGATCACTTAATATATGATACAAAATCAAAATATTATTTTTAAAATATTTATAATAATTTAAAGATAAATTCTACAAATTTAACATATTTTGAGTATATTCTATTTTAATATATTTTTTTTAAACAAGAAGACTCGTGAGCTAACGAGTTGAGTCTGTGCCAGTTTCAGCATGGCTTATGTTAGATAAAAATTTTATTATCATTATGGTTTATTTACATCATTTAAAAATTGCAAATATACCAAAAATATAAAGTATTAATAAAAATAATGTAATTTATGAAATATAAAATGGATAAAGTTGTAATATTGTATTTTTTTTTTCATTTAAATTAACCAGAAACAATAAAGTCAATTTTTTTATCTTAAAATAGCTCACCGGTGTATATGAGTACCAATCACCGATGCTTAAAATCCAAAATTCTTTTGTTTTGTCGGCGTGTTTGATGGGGACGTCAGGGCCGCACGATGGACTTCTCATGACGTCATCCTCCGTACACATGATCTCGTTCGTCCAATATAAACTCCAGAAAAATAGAGACCCATTTTCGCACCCAACTACGCACCGCCATATTTCTAGGCTTACTTTTGAACAAATATTTCAGTTTGGCAAATGTGATCTGAATTTAACTATCATCTTGTAGGGCGGCTCAATTTAAATATTTTTATTCGTGTTGGTTTTGAAATTAACTTCTTAAAATTAATTTAAAAAAAATTTAGTGTGTTGGATTCAAATCTGGACTAAGGGTCGGTTTGGGGCAGCTACTGATAAGTTGATTAAAAATAATCTGCTGATAAGTTAGGTGTGGTAGCTATTATAAATTTTTATTTTTTTTGGAAAAGCCAGACCACAGCCAGAAAGTTGCCACCGCATCTAGACAAGTGCGGTGTGAAAACGTTGTTTTCAGCGTTTTGAACACATAAACTGCCAAAACGCAACTTACCCAAACATGCCACGTGTATTTTCAAAACGCCATCGCACTAAATAAACTGCCCCAAACGGATCCCAAATCTATGCAAAAGAGGACACATAAACATATTAGCACACTTGATGTTATGATTTAAACGTATATATAAATATATCTAATATATTATTATATACATAACTATATGATTTATTTTATTTTAAGCTAAAATGAGTCGAAGAGTTGTTCATATTTGGGCTGTTTAACTAAGCTGACAATTAGCTGTTTGAGAACAATTTTTTTTGGGCCAACTTCCAACAAAGAGTGGCATTCTTGTAAATCTATTTAAGAACGGGTCTTTTACCTACAATTCCTAAAGAAAGCGGCGGGACCTTGAGCGCTCACCGGGTTGCAGAGAACCAGAAGAAAGAAAAACCAGACGTTTGAATAGTAAGACAATTGGTAGAGAGAGAAAGCGAAGGACATAAATAGAGGTGAGGGGGGCTGAGAGGAGAGAGAGAGAGTGAGCGTCTCTGTGTGAGAGAGATTGGGGGTGGTGGAGAGAAGTGTCCACAATAATTGGCATCGAATGCTGGAATCGGGAATCCCACTGAGTCAGATTTCGAGAGATCTGCTGCTTTTCACCGGCGCTATTTAGGCCAAAAGGGGAGTTACCTTTCTTCGTCTGCAATTCCGTTGGAGAGGGGCGAGGAAGCAGAGAGGAAGCAGGGAAAAGCTGGGCCGATGAGAGGTGAGATGGTTATTAGGGTTCGGACTTGTTGTGTTGCGGAGGCGGACGGGATTTCTTACTTTTTTTGTTGGTATTTATCTAGGGGGATGAAAGTGGGTGAAGAGAGACTTCTTCTTGATGGTTTTTGGGGGATTGGATTAGAAAAGTTTATGGATAGGGTTTGTGATTTTGCTTCTGCCAACTACAACTGGAGGATTGTTTTTTTTTTTAATTTATTTTGAATTTCTTTTGGATAAGAGAAGACAAGACCAATCGTCATCGAATACAGATTTTGTCTTTGTTTGCGACTTGTAGGAGTGGACTTAGTGTAGAATCTGTAATAAATACTGACTTGATTTTGTCTGGTTTCCTGCTTTTGGTACTTCAGGTTCGACGGAGGTTGTTATAGCTCACGAGACTGGGCAGCCATACCCCGACAGCTCTTACCTCTGTTTTTGACTCGTTCAACTTCTATAAGATTAAAAAGTTTTAGGATCGTTACGAATCAGAAATTGCGCAAACATTGGCGTTTTTTAGGGAAGCGAGCACCTGATTGGTTTCCAACATAAGAGTTTGTAAAGTTTTTGTTGTGTGGAATGAATTTGTGTTTCTGAGATCTTTTCATGATGTATGCGGCAGCAGATTCGAATATGAACTTTCAACATGGGGTGCTCCCTTCTTCCTTCTGCACTCAGCATGTTGGTTCTTTTCAAACTGGGGCAATAAGCAGCACAGCTGGTTTGGTACAAGGAGAGATTAATAGCGCTGCAGGCATGATGCTGGCTGGAAACTCTGGTACTTTGAACAGTGGATCTTCGATGTTGCTGGAAGGAAGTTCTAACGGAAATTACCATCTTGATCTCCTAGCTGGTCTCAAGCATGATACAGGTCTAACAGCTGATTGGTCCTACAAAGAACAGGCACTATTGAGTCACGGGCTCATCCAGTAAGTAGCATTTCAACACTACATTTTGCTTGTTTTCATCCGATTGTTGAATTGATTCTTTCAACTCTTGTGGTTTTGTGTGAGAAATTTTAGTTTCTTAGAGAACACTTATCAAGTGGGATATGCTTCGTTTGATCTATCAAGGTGGTTTTGTGGTGTTGGACTGCATGATCACCTTTGGAATTTTTGGTCGGTTTTGTGTTGCTGGTGGAAATTCTTGAGCTTCTTTGTGCGTTGATAAAACTCCACCTTAGATAATAATATATTATTGGTTTACTAATAGAAGTTTCAAGGTATGGGGTTGGGATGGCTTTGACAGCTTGTATACTTGGCTCCAATCAATCATCCAAATTAATTACACGAAAATAACATTTTTTTTTGGGAGACAAATCTGCTGGAACTAGATCAATTTCTAAAAAATAGCATTTTTATTTGATTTTCTGTGGAGATCTGTTCACCATACTAAAAATGTCTTCCAACATTTAGAAAACTTTCAGAATGGAGTTTTATGGTTGAATTATGCTGGTTGTTATGAAGCCAAACATTCAGGCTGAATTATCATTAGAAAATATTGGTGGATATTCTTTTGGCTATTATTGACAGATATTTCATTTGTCAAAATCTATGAATTGATTGTATTACTGGCAAAAATTTGTTGAACCCTGATGGTTTAAAAAGAAAAAGGCTTCCTTGGATTCAAGCATCTATCATTTTTACACATTTAGAAAATGCACATTTATCAATCAATTTGAGTAAAGTGATATAAAATAATTAATTTTTGATATTCTCACTAAAAAATAAAATAATGTGCAAGCAGTTAAGAATAATATAATTTCACATGAAGTTTATTTAGAACATAAATGCAGTTATTATAAAATTGTACATGCTATTTATTACAAATAGAGACTCATGTCTCATCTCAATTACTTCCCTCGACATGGCCTTTGCTCTCAATCTCATCATCCTCTACCTCATTCTCAACTTTATCTTCTTCCATGTTTTTACTAATATGGGGGCCAACAATAATTTGTTGAAACCATGTTTTGATATGAGCTATAATTTGATGAAACAACTCATCTTCAACTTCATCTTACTCAGCATTTCAATGACAATATATGCCTCTGTATCACAAGGCTGTTCATAATTGATCTACCAAATTTATACTAATATGGGGTCCAAAAATCGAAAGCCATTTTTTGATATGCATGGGTTTGCTCATCATCTACTTCATGGTGACAAGTGGAAGCGGCATAATTGTCGTTAGTTTGTTTTAGTTCATGCTCCCTATGTGATAGCCAACATTGGTATTTTGTTTCAAATATCCTTCAATATTATTTTAGGTGACATCATTTCTGAATAAAAAATCTTGGTTCCTGTGCTTAGAATATGGACACCTAGGTTTTTCTTTGTTAATGAATCAATGATGTTGACATGCCATGCGGCCCATATGAATAAGAACAATATAAGAAATTTAATTTTTAGTTCTTTTCACCCAAAATCAAGTCTATTATGCATCTATGAATTTTTTATATACTTAATGTGTAATTTGATATGTCGTTAAATTATTTAAATCTTGAATACTGGTTTTAAAAATAAAAAAACCTCCTAAACTTACCTTAAGTGAAATGAGCTTCATCATAATTATGAGAATGAACAAGTGCTTATCTAATTCAATATCTCGAGACAATTCAAATAAACTTTAATTCGCAAACTATCATCCAAAGATAAAACCAACAAAATTACATGCCTAATTAACATTCTCTAAACATAATTACTTACATTTCCTTGGATGGAGTTATAAACTTATAGTTCAAGACATTGATGACTTTGCTTGTAGATGAGAATCAACGAGATTGAAGAAAGATGAGCCACAAACTCAAGTGGGGTGAGGAGGGTCAACAAAAGGCACGGGACATGATTGGGCCTTTGTGTTAGAGAAGAAGAATAGGAAGTAATGGATTCACCGAAAAAAGGAGCAAGACCAGAGATTGAGGTGGTGTCAAAGAGAGACGTGCCTAACATTCTATTTGAGAGTAGAGATGGGCAACGAAAAATGAAAATGAGAGGACTCGATTTGGGACAGGAAAAATTACAAAAGTGTCCTATGGATTACTTGGAGAATGCTCTTGCTAATGATAAGTTGATTATTTACAAGGATCTACTGTAAATAAAATATTGCTAGCGAAAAGACTAGTTTTTATTTAATCATATTTGTTGTGGAAAGCTGTAGATTCAGTGTGATATCTTCCATGTATTTTTGGCAAAAAATAATTCTTATGTAGTCAAATGTTTCTTGACTGCTTCCCTAACAAAAACTTTTCTAGAAAAATTTGGTAGCAATTATTTGCGGCATTGTTTTAAGAGCCTATTACCATAAACTACACTGCATTCTAATAAAATGCTAAACAAATTATTTGTGATATTTGTTTCTTTATGATTTTTTCAGTTATGAAAAATTTTCAGCGCCTAAACTTATAGCTTCCTAATCAGCAACATAGCTTAGCAATGCCTCTAGTCGTTCTGCTTAACTCATAGAAAATGGCAGATGGGTTAAAGTTATTAACTTTTTTCATGGTGGCGGCTTGACGCACTGTCCTAATGTGATACGGAACTATTAAGATTTTAAATTAGATATCAATAATTTCATCTTTTGTCTATTCTGACTAGTCTAACTGTCAACTTGTTTTTCTAACCATTTATATTTTCCTAATTTAATTTATACTAAAAGTGACAATGCCTTCCCTGTGAGAATCTCAGGTATTCCGATCAACCTACCATAATGAAATATATCAAGATTGCTGCCCTTTTGCCAGATAAATCTGTAAGGGACGTTGCATTGAGGAGTAGTTGGATGAGTGTAAGTTTTTCTTGTCAATATTTTATAAGAATAAATAGTTATTTTTCCTTTTTGTTTCTTACCAATTTTTATGGTTTATATTTTTAGTCTATAGTTATGTTATATGTTAATGCAGGATTTTTCGTGAATTCATTCCAAATCCTAAGACTTCAGGGGCATGAAAAAACAATGAAAATATATAAATAATTTGTAACCTTACCACATAAATATAAGAAAACAAATGAGTTAAGGTCATCCAAAGAGGTAAATTTGGGGGATTCTCCTCTCCAATGATTTTCCGATATTTTTATATTGCCTTATTTGAGCTAATATGATGTAATAAAAATGGTAAAGTTTTATGAGTTTGCCCCTCCTAAAAAATGGAGAGACACTATTCTATCGCTCTCGCCTCTTAAGATGAAAAATCTTGGTTCTGTTGATGGATGTTTATTTGTCACATATCCTTGAACCAATACTTGATCCAGATCTTTTATTTTGATTGCATTAATTATCACTAATTGCACATCAAAATTGTTAGATATGACTCATATACCAGATAAGGGACAGATGTTAGAGCAGAACGGAGCGAGCGAGTGTTTCATTAAGGGTTGTATTTATATATAATATGGGAACCAGACTTTTACTTCTGGAATAGAAACCGTCGTTCTGCTCTCGAGGAAGTAGGCACATTGCTGAACCTCATTAAATCTCTGTGTTTTTCTTGATTTATGTCGATTCTTGCATTTTCTTTGCTTTAATTACTCTACAAAAATTGAGAACATTCCAAAGATGAAAATCAAAGAGGATCGATTCAGAATATGGATAAAGGGAAACTAAAAATTGTGGAGAGCCTCAATTCTAGCTGCCCTCATCAAGCTTCACACCCATTTAAGGATTTAATTTGCATAAGCAGAAGAGTGTTGAGGTTCTAGAACTTATGGACCTATGAATGTATAAACATGTCATTAAGGTCTTAGTGTGCCCATTTCTGGTATTAAACATCAACAATTTTCTTTTCTTCATCCTCACGAGAGAATGAAAATATTTTAACGGGCTCAAGTTTGCAAGCATAGTTGTAATTTTAAATTTCAAGATTAATGGTCTGTTTGGGGCAGCTGCAACTTATCCAACTTATTCAGATAAACTGATAATCTGTCGATAGCTGGCTATCTGTTTGGTTTGTGCGTTTCGAAAACAACTGATTCTGGATAAGGGACAGATGTTAGAGCAGAACGGAGCGAGCGAGTGTTTCATTAAGGGTTGTATTTATATATAATATGGGAACCAGACTTTTACTTCTGGAATAGAAACCGTCGTTCTGCTCTCGAGGAAGTAGGCACATTGCTGAACCTCATTAAATCTCTGTGTTTTTCTTGATTTATGTCGATTCTTGCATTTTCTTTGCTTTAATTACTCTACAAAAATTGAGAACATTCCAAAGATGAAAATCAAAGAGGATCGATTCAGAATATGGATAAAGGGAAACTAAAAATTGTGGAGAGCCTCAATTCTAGCTGCCCTCATCAAGCTTCACACCCATTTAAGGATTTAATTTGCATAAGCAGAAGAGTGTTGAGGTTCTAGAACTTATGGACCTATGAATGTATAAACATGTCATTAAGGTCTTAGTGTGCCCATTTCTGGTATTAAACATCAACAATTTTCTTTTCTTCATCCTCACGAGAGAATGAAAATATTTTAACGGGCTCAAGTTTGCAAGCATAGTTGTAATTTTAAATTTCAAGATTAATGGTCTGTTTGGGGCAGCTGCAACTTATCCAACTTATTCAGATAAACTGATAATCTGTCGATAGCTGGCTATCTGTTTGGTTTGTGCGTTTCGAAAACAACTGATTCTGGATAAATGACTATTTCGCCCCTGTTCTGGATAAGCTGCTACCTGTTTAGATTGTGCGTTTAAAAAACAACTTAGTTACAGATTTTTGGTTAATAAAAGACCGTTTACACATTATAAAATTTATTTTTGAAAAAATTATTTTTAAATTATGGGCAACATAAATTGTAAAAAAGTAATTTACATTTTACAGTAATTTTAAAATAAATTGAATGAAATTTAAGAAAAAAATAAACTCAAACAGAAGAAAATATGCAGGAGCTGAAGAAACTGAAGTGAAGAACTTCTTATAACCCTTACTTTATTAGACAATTAGCACAAAATATAAACACATATATATATAAATTTGTTGCATGACAAATTTGTAATTTCACAACAGTACATATTTGTTATTATGACTTCATCTAAAATAGAGTTCAAGTTACCAAATTAAAATCAAAATACATATTGAAACTATAATTAGTAATAAGAATATAACATTCAATTTAAAATGCAAAAGTAATATCTCCTGAGAATCGTTGCTCGGTTGGTGCACGACCGAACCCCGAACAACATTTTGAGGTTGGGAAACACTTGAACCACAAGTGATTGTCTCTGACTGTGACACCGTGAAACCCCTTGCAACATTGCCCGATTGGGATAACGTTGAATTTGAAAGGTTGTCTGTCTGTCTGAAGAAGCCGCAGTCGCCCGATTCGTATTTCCACATCAGGCACATATAGAACGGCCGCCCGTAGCTATGTTGCCGGCGTGACGTTAGTAGCAAGGACAACATTCTGCAACGACACATCATTTGTCCGAACTTTTCCGGAATATCTTGAGCTCATCGTCCTGCAATTATTAAAAAAGATAATATATCAGTAAAAAAATAGAGCGGTTTCCCAACTACACATCACTATGTAGCATGTCCAACTATTTTATAACATGTGGCTCTTTATAGCAACGGTTGCCCATGAAGACATGGACCATCCAAGCTGCCCTTAAAATAGAGAAACCCCAAATATTCTCCACCTTACATTTTCAGTAAAATGGAATGGTGGGATGGAAGCCTACCTGCAATAGTTAACAAAGATTTTAAACAAACTATTTTCATAACAAAAATTGCCTTTAGAAGGGAAGATGTAAAAAATAAAAGAAATGCATGTATAAAACAAAAATTTTTCTGTTTCTTTTCCAAAGACAGTTCCAACTAGATCTAGTTCCAACTAGATCTATTAGTAGATCTATTAGAAAAACTAATGTCCATCATGTATGTAAAAATTTAAGATTAGCTGTTAGATATATAAATTCATAAGAATTGAGTAATATGTATGCAATCTTCCATCCCGAATTTAAGAACCTCTTTCCCATATGCACACACACATGAGACAGTAAACTGCAGGGTGGCTAGGAATGCCCCTTCCTTCCCTAAACTTCGTATAACCATCCATAATGTTTTTAAAGTTACAAAAATGTTTCCTACAACAACCAAATTTGTAGCTATGTACAACATTTAAATTTGTATGTATTCTTATACAAGACTAGTAGATGAGGGTGGAGATGGATTTTAAGAAAACCCAATAATCCATATAATGTCATTCTGTCAGATGCATAACAAGCCGACTCCATTCCAATATACCAAGAGCAAAGAATCAATCAATATTGGCAGCTACAGTTTTCTGAAATGTGATCTAAAATCAAGCAGGAGTGCAAAATACGAAGGTCGCTACAGGCAGGCAACATTCTTGAAAAGAAGCAAGCACAAAAAATTCTGACTCGGCGAAAATCTTTCACGAGGACTGCAACTATTTTGATCTTCTTCCATAACACATTCTGACTCGTGCTTACTTGAAGGGATGAAGTGCATAATAGGCTACGGAAATAGTTGGAATCCCTTCAAACTACTGTCCATCACCATTTTCAGAAGGGAAGATGGCATAATGAAGATTTTTCAAACTACTGTCCATCACCATAGTTGGAATCCCTTCAAACTACTGTGCATAATGAAGATTTTTCTAACTCCTCAGCTGGCTACAGAAATAAGTTTATAATGCTTCTATTATCAACTTTGTTTGGCTTGCTTGGCAAAAAGCAAAAACAAGGCAGTCCAATTAATATGGAATTCCACAGAAACTGCATTCCTAAGAACAACAAAAGGATATCAAATTATTCAGAAATACAACAAACAAAGTAAGAACAGAATTCTGCTATCCTTCCTGCCAGCACTTCTTAAACTACCAAATTATGGAAGCGACGGTTGCCGAGAACAAAGTTCTGAGGCCGTCCAAGTTGCTCCACACGTGGCAGTTTTTAATAAACCTTCCATTCATCGACACAACATATTTAAATTTGAAACAGAAAAAAGAATTCATAAAACCAACATCGGCACAACATATCCAGCTGAGGAGTTAGAAAAATAACGATTTTCAACTGATAAGTCCTCAAATTCTCAAGCAAACGTTTGTCTAACTTTGTTTGATTTGGCAACAGCTCAATACCAACTCAAAAAGAATCCACACGAAACCTGCAGTGCAAGAGCGCAACCGATTCGAAGCCATTCAACTGCACCTCAAAGGATCTTTTAAAATAATAATAAAAAAAAAATTCTAATCACAATTAAGCTCAATATGAGGTAGCTATCACTGAGCCAAACACGATCAAACAGTTAGGGTTTGCAATCAGCACTCATCTACTAACCTAATTTGCAATCAGCACTCGTCTTCTCCAAATAAATAATTAAAAATGAAGTTATCTTTTACTGCGCTGTGTAACTGTGGCTTTATGCTGAATTGAGTAAAGATGTGCTTATTTGAATTAGAATCTGTGATTATCTAACCAGACACTTTTTTTCTTATATACAGAGGAAAGAAAACGTGAAACGCCGTAGATATGAAGATTATTCTACAGGAAGGAAATGTAAAGATAGGAAGGTAATTTTATCATACCATAAGTTATTGAAGCATTTATCCCTATTAATAAGTAATATTTGCTTTTTAATGACTTGCTATATTACAATGGTGTTTCATGCTTACTTGTTTGTTCCAGTTCATATGATGAAATGAAATTGGAAGTTACAGTTTTCCTAAAATAAATTTCTGCTTTAAGATTACTCATAGATTGAGAGACCTTAGATTATAAATCTCTCTTTGATTATCACCTTGCTTTGTTTGGTTATGGATGCTTCATCAGGAAAAGATGGGGGATTCTTTCACGAAGGTGAATATACTTCCGTTTGGCCGCAATGTTGGATATCCTTTTTTGATGCACCATGGGAACAATAACAATCATTTTCTTAGTGAAGGTGAGCTAAACAATGGTTGGCTTCTAATCTGTAATGTCTTTTAATGTGTTACCTCTTGCACTTTATATTGCAGAAGATTCCATAGTACAATCTGGTCATTGTGTTCTATAATATAATTTCTGCCATTTATTTTTTTAATCTTTTAGATTAGGCAAGGAAGCATTGAAGTTAATTAGCTGTTAATTTTGGATAAAGCAACCAGTTTAGTATGAATTAAATAAATTCCTAAACCATTATGTTAAAGCATGTGGCGTTCAAGTTTATATCTGCTTAGACATGGATTTTGAAGCTATTGATTGTGGGTCCCGAAAATTCAACGACCGCTCCCCAGAACAATTATCTGCATTTACTTTTATATTTTTTGTTTTGAGAGAGCTTTGTAGGGTTGAATTTTCAAAGCAGATTGTATTGTATATATGACACTACCCAGAGATTACGCCCTCGTTTAGCGAGGGTTTTTTTGATCTGGGGTTGGAGGTTTTCCATATGGTTAATTACCTTACCCCTCCCGATAACGGGTGAGCACTTTTGATTAAGGCTAGTCATTAATAATGAAGTATTCAATATATAATAGCAGCAAACCTAGGTCTTTAAATTGTAAAATTCACCACTTGAAGCTGGTGGGGGAATGAAGACGAAACCCGATCGAGATTCCATGGTTTCGTCATCTCAGGCCGTCGTGGTCTTTGATCTACTAAGTTAGAGGAGGTAGTCGCCCTAATCTGACAGAAGGATTCTTGTCAAAAGCCATGAGTTATGTTGTCCAATATATTCTTGTATATATGGGGAAGATGTTTGTCTAAGGGCACAAAGTTAAGTCGACCTTAGCTAACAAAATGATTTATGCTAATAAATTGTACTCTAATGATTCAAAACTCAAAGAGTAGAAATCCGTTGGGGAACATACGGGCTGCGGTCGTGACTGTAATATAATGACGTCATTTGGCGGCAACTGCTTGGTCAGAGGGCTCTGATTGTAACCGTTATTTTGTGGTGTCATTTGAAGACCAAACCACACATACAAAAGAACTTAACACACGTCCTTACTGACATACAATTACGTTGATTGTAAATATAAGGATACATTTAATATGATATTAGCTTTTTGTGAGCTGAAGTCAGTTAGAAATTTGTCACCTTCGACAAACCGTTGCGGAGGGTGGATGAGGTTTTACTTTAAGTTTTTATTGATTGATTTTTGCTTGAATACTTGGTTGGTTATTTTAAAAAATCTTAATCTAAAAGATTGACTCATCTGATTGAAATCTTCAATAAACACAACCATCATCGGGCATTGACCATTTTTTATTTAAAAGGGGCATTAAATTTTGTCAGTTTAGACTTTTAAGATATAAGTCCAGCCAACTTCTATTTTTTTATGAGGAGAATTAAACTATCTTGGTGATTTATAATTGTAAATTTTTATTTCAGGATTTGAATATTTATTAGAGTTTACTAGACTCGTCAACTCTAGTCCTTACGAGGAGGTGGATCAGATTAATGGGGTGATTTGAACTTGTAATTTCTTATATTATGATTTAGACATTTATTAGGGTTCATTAGACTTGTCAACTTCAATCCTTGCGAGGAGGATTGTACTAGTGGGGTATGACTTACAACCTTATCCTATAGACAAAACGAACCAATTATTCCGCGCAACATTCTCGAACCTGGTATTTGAGCATTCAAGATATTGGATGGAGCACATGTGGGCATTTAACATATTCATATGTTTGAGCTTTTTCAGCTGGAGCATTTAGTGTCTTTAAGGCAATTTATATGATTTAAAAACACGAATTAAATTAAATAGCTTGCACATAAGCTTTCATTTTAAGCATTTTACTAGCTTTTTTTTTTGTTGGCAGACAAGTTGCGATTCTGGTGGCGCTAAATTTCAAGTTTTAAGAAAACTCAATGTGAATTATACTTGGCCTCTAGGAGCCTAAGTTCGAAAAATTTAACTTTAACTCGATTTTCAAACTTCAGGAGCGTAAGTCCGAAAAGCTTGATTTCAAACTATTTTTTAAGTCTTATTAGTTTATAATTTAAAAATCAAAATCTTAACATTGTAAGTTTTAAAAATATTTTTTAAAAGATCTAGAACTTTAACATTTAAAACCTAAGAGCTTAAATTTAAAAACCCAAATTTTAAAGTAATTACCTAAAGAGTCTAAATATTTAAAGCCTTAATCCCCTGATATTTTAAACCCTAAGAGCAAAAAAAATTGAAAAATTCAAGTTTATAAGTAATTATAAAATTTGAGTGGTGTTTTATTTTATTTTGAAAGTTCAAAATATCAAACGTTTTTGTCCAAATTCACTGAAAATTTCGGCAGCCTCTTTACATCGACTTCCGTTTGGGGGTAGCAGAGTATGCCAACTTTCCCAACTATCTTAAAAGATGAGTCAGTCAGTGTTGTGAGACACTGTAGTTGGGGAATAAAAGTGCGAACTTAACCCATGATCTTAAAAGACAGCGGGATTTCAATGTACTTACACAAAAGGATTAGCTCTTAAATTAGCATTTAAGTGATATTTTTTTTCTCCTCGAACGGTACTCAAATCCCCATGAACGAGTACTCACTTTCCCATGAGTAGGTGTTTTAAAATTCCCATTTTTTAAAAAGATTTTCCGAATTGAGTCAGTATTTTTCCCCTAACAGTACTTAATTTTCTCAGAAACGAGTACTCGTGCTTTCTCAAGTGGATAATTATAAAAATTTCTCTGCTATCGCTCCAAAATATACCTTTCGAGTCTCCATGTCATTGACTGTGAGTATGATAACACAATAAAATCAAATTTCAACATTACAACACACACACAATCTATATATATATATTTATATGATAGAAAACAAGAGAGACAAAAAGTGGCTAGGGTTTTAAAATCATACTCAAAATCTCATTACAAGAGTATATATAGGTACAATCTGGAAAAGACTAAACTACCCTTAATTGGTAAAGTAATAGAAATACAAAACTATATCTAACATCCCCCCTCAAACTCACGATGCATCGAGGAGAATCATCGAGAGTTTGCTAATCAAAAAACAAAAACGTTGAGTAGAATGCGATTTCGTAAACACATCAGCAAGTTGCATGGAGGAAGAAATATAGGGTAAGGTGATGGTGCCATGCTGAAAATGATGACGAGTGAAATGACAATTAATCTCAATATGTTTGGTGCGCTCATGAAACACTGAGTTGTGGGCAATTTGTGTAGCATTTTTTTTATCACAGTACATAGGAGTTGGGCTAGAGAAAGAGACACCCATATCAGAAAGTAACCAACGCAACCAAACAATTTCTGCAGTGGTGGATGCCATGGCACGATACTCAGCTTCGGTAGAAGAGCGAGAGACAACTTCTTGCTTCTTACTCTTCCAAGAAATGAGAGAATCTCCTAGAAAAATACAAAATCCTGTGGTAGACTTACGATTGGTGGAATCACCACCCCAATCAGCATCAGAGTATGCACGTAATTCCAATGAGGAAGATGTAGGAAAGAGAAGGCTCTGAAATTGAGTACCCCGAAGATATCGAAGAATGCGAAGAACTGCTGCCCAATGAATTGTAGTAGGAGAAGCAACAAACTGACTGACAACATGCACAACATAAGAAATATCAGGTCTAGTGATGGTAAGATATACCAAGCTGCCAACAAGTGTACGATACAAAGTGGGATCGGACAAAGGAACGCCATCAGAAGAGTTATAATGAGCATTAAGCTCAAGGGGAGTAGCAGTTGTCCGAGTATCAGATAGACGAGCTTGTTCAAGGATGGTGCCAGTATACTTAGATTGGGAAAGAAGATAACCTCTAGGGGAATGAGCCACTTCAATCCCCAAAAAATATCGAAGAGTACCCAAATCTTTCATCTCAAACTGTTGAGCTAATTGTAATTTCAATTCTGCAATCCCATTATCATCATCGCCAGTGATGATCATATCATCAACATATAGGGAGAGAATGATACGACCATGTGAGGTGGTTTTGAGAAACAAAGCAGTATCATGTGAGCTAGAATGAAAGCCAAGTGATGTAATCACAATGGAGAACTTTTCAAACCAAGCTCTAGGAGCTTGTTTAAGTCCGTAGAGGGCTTTCTTTAATTTACAAACTTCACCATGATTATGAGAGACACCTGGTGGAGGCACCATGTAAACTTCCTCTTGAAGATCACCATTTAAGAATGCATTTTTAACATCCATTTGAGAAATATGCCATCGATGAATAGAAGCAACTGCAATAAGAGAACGAATGGTAGTCATTTTGGCAACAGGAGCAAATGTTTCTTCATAATCTAGACCATATTGTTGAGAAAGTCCCTTAGCAACCAAACGAGCTTTATATCGCTCAACAGACCCCAGACTTCGTTTTGATTTTATACACCCAACGAGAACCAATTGCACGTTTTCCTGGAGGAAGAGAGGTAATGTCCCACGTATCTGTCTTTTGCAAAGCATAGAGTTCTTCTGCCATAGCTTGCTGCCAAAGAGGATCAAGAACAGCCTCTTGATAGGAGGAAGGCTCAGACAAATTGCGAATGGAGGTTTAAAAGGAAGCAAAAGAATTAGAATAAGTAGAGTAAACAAAATCTGGCAATTTAGTTGACTTACGATCACGGTGAGGGTACCGAGGAAGAGGAGGATC